GAAGCTGGGTAAACCAGAGAAATTCCAGCATCCTTACATTACTGCTTATCTTCTCCAAAGGTGCTAGGTCAGGAGGAAGTGTGGAGAGGGACTCAGATTGTGCATTGTCTATCAGTTAAGGTTAGAGATCAACCCAGACCAAAACTCCAGATTTTACCACTCGTGAACTGTGGGGCAGATTTAATCCAAAACCAAACTTCGTAGATGTGCCCTATTTTTTTTAATAGGCCAGACCAAACGCCCAAATCTGAACATGCTATGCTAAGCTTTGAGGAAATTCAGATCTTGCACCTCAGGTCAGGGTCCAGTGAAGCATACGGGTGGGGTGTCCCAGGTCGCTGAATGCCTCTAATCTAGATGCTAGATTGTGGCGGGGGGGAGGGGGGCGGGGGATGCAGCTGCACTGCTCTAGAAGCACCAAAGAGACTGTGTCTCAGCCAAGCACAATCTCTCCTGGAACTGCTCAGTGCTCACAGTGGGTGTGCAATCTGCTCCTCCATTGGGCTCGGAATTGGGAACAGAACGCTCTGCCTGGTGCATCAGCTCTGCTGTGAGCAGGTGCAGAGGGTGGGTGGGGTCAGAGCCCTGCCCACTCCATTTCCAGCATTTTGCTCCCTGTGGAGCTCAGGGCTTGTTTACAGGAAGCCTATGCACACATAGAGTGGCTCATTAAGGCACATGGCAACGAAAACTACTGAGCAGAAGAAGGGGTGCCACTCTTGCTGTTTTAGCTCTGTGGTGGGGCTCTCAGGAGCCAGTGTCCCCTGGCAATAGCTGCTATGAAAAAATGGCTTGTTTAATGAGACCAGTGAAGAGCTGCTCTGTAATCAAGCCACCATCAGTATCTCCCCCTAGCTGAGGACCAGGTTGCCCCCTCCAGTATGGGAAAGAGAGGAAGAAAATGGCACAAAATGAACCTCGCAGAATTTTCACCCGGTCATTTCATCGACGGGGAGGTGACAGTATTTGCCTCTCCGTGGAACAAACACTGGACTCCATAGCTTCGGCTGTCCATTGAAGCACCCTGAAGGAGCATCCCCCAGAATGGAGAAGCTCCTCTTAAGTGTTAATATAGCCTCAGGTTGTATTAACTTTAACATGCAGGTTGGTAGCACAACTGTCTCCCCACCTTTGCCCAAGTCTACATGCTTGATTCGCTGCTTCCCCATGAGCAGATCCTCAGCCCTGCAGATGTCCTTCTGAGGCATGTGAGTACATGACAATGATATTGTGGAGATGACAGACCTTACCCGTTCCACATGGAAAGAGGAAGATCCACGCCTTGGACCAGAATGGCTCAGTTCCCTTATCCCTACAGCTCTTCAGGGTGAGAGGTGTGTGCATTAGAGTAGAAAAGCCCATCCCCTGATAGCAGCAAGTGTTGTCTGTGCTGGATGCGTGTGGTATATTTTCCTCTGGAACAGTGGCTACAAGGAACCAAAGCGACACTAAACAGATTCAACTGTAGGACACGTTGAACATGACCTGGGATTGCACCTGAAAGCACCTTATGCAGAAAGCCAGCTAGCCTGCCCAATCTGAAATTGCTCACACACACATACTACCCATCTCTACATTTCCTCTTTTGCCTTGAGTTTATTTCCTCTCAAGCTCACCTCCAGGAAAGCAGATGCTGCTGCAAGAAACATTAAGAAAAACAAGAATAAAAATGGCATTAAGCATTTAAAACCTCCACCCGATCCCTGAAACCAGACCTGACCTTTTAGCGGTTTAGTCTAAAATACTCATCCTCAAATGAAAGAAAAGAGCAGCTTATTTCTTTAAAAAGAAAGAGCAAACATTAAAGATAAAAGAATAAAACTGAGTGAAAATTCACTGTTTGTCCCTATGCTTATTTAGGACCCAATCAGTGAAATCAATGGGAGATTTGCCAGAGTAATGAATGTATGTATTCCTTTAATCATGAATATTGTGGCAGCACAGAGAGGCCCCAGACAAGATCAGGCCCCATTGTGCTAAGCACCCTCCAAATACATGATAAGAGATGGTTCCTGCCCTGAAGACCTTATGTCTAAACAGAAAAGCCAGGCAAGTGAAACACTGTGAGCCCCATTTTATTGGTGCTGAAGCTACAGCACAGAGAGATTAAGACTGGGATGCTCAAAAGCCCCGAGGCTGTGCAGCTTTGGCAAGCCCATCTGGCAGGTCTTGCCCCAAGTCACACAGATAGTTTGTGGCAGAGATGAGCGTTGAACACCAACCTCCTGAATCACAGGCCAGGGCCTTACTTAGAAGCCCACCCTTGCTCTCAAATGTATCTTTGGGGAGATTGGACTTTTGACTCTAATGCCACTGGGGCAAAGACCTTGTCTTCAGGTATAGCTGTACAGCACTTAGCATGCTGTTGGTCCTGTATAAATAATAATAACAACGTGAATTGGGCTGAAAAAAATCAACATACACCACCACATTGCAAATTATTTTCTGTCTCACTCAAGCTAACAGTCTCTCCATTACATGAAGGGAGGATGTTTGAAAAGGAGCAACGGCAGAGCTGTAAAAGAGGGATATACATACTATTAAGCTGCAGCATCTTTGCCAATTTGGCAATTCTTTTGACAAAATCTGTTAATAAAAATCACAAAAAGCAGTGGCACAGACAGTACCAGCATAAGCGATGCAGTGGGCATGAAACTAATGAGAACCCTTCACTCTGTAAAACCTCCCTGCAAAAATCTATCCTATCTCAGCATTTATCAGCTCCTGCGCCTTATTGTCTAGTTAAAACGGAAATAGCTAGGCTTTTACTCGTAATCATCTAGCCATGTGGATGACAATGTCAACTGACACTGGTTTTCGTAAGCCAAACAAGCTGCCCTGGGGTAAGCAACAGTGAAACCAATCAGATTTAGTGACTAATATTTCCTACTTCCGAAAGGATGAAGACGGAGATGTGGTTAAAATTAGATCTCATTGCCAAAAACAACTCCAGAATGGCTGGGAAGGAACATGATCAACATCAGGTTTTTGAATGAGGAACCAGTGCCTTGATTCTAAGTGGCATCTCCCAACAAAGAGGTGAAGTTTTCAGGTTGTGTTACACAGCTAGATGAGCATTTAAAACAAAAAACAAAAACCAGGAGTTGCCTGCTTCCCTGCAGCAAAATCTACTCCCTGGCCTGAACCACTCAAAGACAGGCCTGTACTTGGTACTGTAATTGTTTTGCACTCACTACAGCCGCAATCTTTTCCTCCTACCTTTCATCTTGGCTGTGTTCCTTCAATTTCCTGCAGTGTTCGCAGTCTGGTTCTGAGAAATATCACACTCTCTTATTCTGTTTTTCATTCCTTTCACCCACCAGCAGCTTTCACTTTGCTTTGCGTGCCTGTCCATCTGAGAGAAACGTTTACAGTCCCCAGAACTGGCTTGGCATAGTTTGAGTGCAAAGGAGTCACGCTAGTGCAAAACTGGTGCATGATCAGAATCAGGCCCAGGGAATGAACAGGAAAACTTTACAAGCAGGGTTCATGCTACTGACGTCAGTAGAATTAATCTGGATGTAACTGAGGCTGGTATCAGACCCACTACCTGTTGGGATTTTATTTAGGCCATATTTGCTCCTAGAAGATGAGTCTGATTTAAAAAGACAGAGCCCCCCCCCCCCCCCCCCCCCCCGTTTCCTGTCTCCCCAAATATCATCTTTCATCAGGGCCACTTCTAACATTTTCAAAACTGGAGTGGGGTCAAAATTCCATGTCTCACACTTTTCACAACATGTGCCATTCCTCAGCTCTGTGCTCTCACACAGTCAGGTCTGTTTGCTCAGTGTGCCCTGTTGTTTCTGACTGAGCAGAGATTACTCTCAGACCTGAAAGCAAAGCATTGTTCTGCAGTGGGATCCCGCAGGGATCAGTTCTGGGTCCAGTTCTGTTCAATCTCTTCCTAAATGATTTAGATAATGGCATAGAGAATACACTTGTAAAGTTTGTAGACAATGCCAAGCTGGGAGGGGTTGTAAGTGCTTTGGGGGATAGGATTAAAATTCAAAATATCTGGATTCTGGACAAACTGGAGAAATGGTCTGAAGTAAATAGGAAGAAAATCAATAAGGATAAATGGAAAGTACTCTGCTTAGGAAGGAACAGTCACTTGCACACATACAAAATGGGAAATGACTGCCTAGGAAGGAGTACTGCGGAAAGGAATCTGGAGGTGATACTGGATCACAAGCTAAATATGAGTGAGCAGTGTAACTCTGTTGCAAAAAAAAGCAAACATCATTCTGGGATGTATTCACAGGAGTGTTGTAAGCAAGACACGAGAAGTAATTCTTCCACTCTACTCCGTGGTGATTAGGCATCAACTGAAGTATTGTGTCCAGTTCTGGGTGCCACATTTCAGGAAACATTTGGACAAATTGGAGAAAGTCTAGAGAAGAGCAACAAAAATGATTAAAGGTCTAGAAAACATGACCTATGAGGGAAGATTGAAAAAATTGGGTTTGTTTAGTCTGGAGAAGAGTGAGGGGGGGACATGATAATAATTTTCAAGTACATTAAATTGTTGCAAGGAGGAGGGAGAAACTTTGTTCTCCTTAAACTCTGAGGATAGGACAAGAAGCAATGGGCTTAAATTGCAGCTAGGGCAATTTAGATTAGACATTAGGAAAAAATTCCTAAATGTCAGGGTGCTTAAGCACTGAATAAATTGCCTAGGGAGGGTGTGGAATCTCCATCACTGGAGATTTTTAAGAGTAGGTTACACAAACACCTATCAGGGATGGTCTGGATAACTGGACTAGATGACCTCTTGAGATCCCTCCCAGTCCTACGATCCTACTCAGACCCATGAACTTAGAAGCTGCTATCGTGGGTTGCATTCTGGTACCTTTTCACCACTCCTGAGACATAAAAATGATGGAAACCAGCCAGATCTTCCCACATAAGAATTCCATGGTGTAAGGGGACTCGCTGGTTGGTGTAGGGCCAGCACAGTGGCCTTGCAGTCTTCAATATATGGGCTTGCCAGGAGTCTGTTGGGAAAGGCAGAGGGTATGGCTTGAATGAACTGTGTTTTAGATATTTTGGGCGTCCAGATAGTCCCTTGAGGACAGCAAAAGCCTGGTAGTAAGTTAGAATCGCTGCTGGGGCATATATAGTGTATGCCAGGAGCCAAACTGGCCCCAGGCAATCTGAGAATCCTGAGAGGCATGGCTCAGACTTGGGGCTGGAACCTTTTAATGGAGCTAGAGGATTGGATCCAATAGGAAAGGCCGGGAAACAGAAAAATGGAGGCTTTGAAGAAAAATGAATGAGAGCAAGAGGCAGAACTCAGGTGGCAGAGCAAGAGGAAAAACAACTAAATAATGGAAACTCAGAGTGAGAGACCAGGCCTGGAAACAGACAAAGAGAGATCGACTAAAAGCAGAGGGCAAAGCATTAGACGCAGAGAGCAGCAGAGTAGAGCAGAGCACTGAGCTCAAAAGGAGTGCTTTGTAGCAGTAGTAAGAAAAAGCAAACGTAAAAACTATGTCATGGAGAGATTCAGTCCCAAGGTAGTTGCTGAGATTTTTATTTCTCACAAAACAAGATAGAATATCTGATCTTAAAAAAAATCTTGATTTCCTCAAAAATTTTCCAGAAAAATCCCAATGTTTTCTCAAGTGTAGGACGATTTTGTTCCACAAAATATTGGTTATTTTCTATGAGAGAGTCACATTGTTTAAAGGTATATAATTACTTGAAATGTGTACCATGGTTTGGGAGATAGGAGTTGATTAAAAGGGTATTATGGACACATTCTATATGTAGTAAAAATATACATGAACTGCCACATTTTCAAGAGTTCAGGGCCAGATTTTCATGTTCAGCATCTATAACTGGATCACAGTTTTCAGAAGAGCTCAGCTCCCATTTAGGCACCTAAATAAACAGCCACATTTTCAAAGGATTCAAAATGCTGAGCACTTTTGAAAATCTGGCCTGAAAGATATTATCCTGGGAGTGTACAGCAGCCATTGAGGTAAAACAGCGGTACTCAGCGTTTTACAGGATCAGGCCCTCAAATGAGCATCAACTACTGAGTCCAAAACTGCTGAGTTTTAATCTGTACTTGGACACTATCTCTCTCTGTAGGCTCGGTCAGGTCACTTTAACCTCTCGCCCTTCATTTTCCTTTCTGTAAATAAGGTCGAATGCTCGGTGCCTTCTTCACAGGGGAAATCATAAGGAACAATTCATTTTTTGCAATGTGCTTCGTAAAGCACTATGTACTGGCTAAGTAAAATTATATATTAATATACATTTCCAATAATGATATACTAAACCTTATCTCAAGAGTTAAGTGAAGTGATCATTTGAGGACAGTAAAGCCCCCTCATGATTTCTGAAGTCTTTTGCAATGTAGAGGGAAGGATGCCTTTTCATTCATCATATGCACATTAGCCCTTCTGCTTTTACCACTGGGAATTATTAGCTAGTTAATTTCTTTTATTCAGATGGGACTTAATACATTCAGCTTCAGTTCACCTGTTTCCGCTCACGTGCAGTGACAGTGCACTCTGAGCGCTCCGAGAGCTGCCCTGATAGAAGATAAGTGTTTTCAATTGCAACCATTGGAGTAGATTCAAGGACTTTAAATTTTTTTCATGATTAACATCATGCATAAAATGACTCTCCCCCAAACCTTCTGTCTGTCTTCTGTGGTTTATATGATTGTGGTGCCTGATGCTTCTCTCACAGGATTGGTCCTGACTAAGATAAAAGGTGGGTTTGGGTTGTTTTTTTTAAACGTCAGCAAGCACAGTCCAAAAACCAGCTTTTCATTCTAGTCAAGGCAAACCCACAGTGAAGATCGGAAATCATGGCGGTTTTGGAGGGAAAAGACCAGCGTAACTGTTCAGTCCATCTTCCTGGAAAGGCAAGGTATGCTCCTCTGATAAAGGTCACATTGCTGCTGGATATTAAAGAGATAAGAATAGATTTAATTTTTGTATTAAACCGAATGTTAAAATTAGCTAATACACAGGTTAAGGAAAGTGTTTCTGCACATCTGGGTATAATGCTTAAATTATCCAACAATACAAAGTTTGGTTTAAAAGTCATAAAACACATATCATATATAATCTGCAATATTCCAAATTGAGGTTAATAAATTTAGCAATATAGTTAAAATATTAGCATCCAAATATTCAGGTACATCACTCATACAAAGTTATGCTAAGAGTAGCTTGTGAGCAGCAGATATAGCGATGAGTGTAGATTGTCCCTCAGTAACTGAGAATTTAGGACAGGTTGTCCCTCAGTAAGCACAATCAATCAGAGAAGTATTTCAGTTACTTTCCTGACTTCATTTCCCAATGGCACTCCAGCTCATCTCTCCTGGTATTGCTGATGGCCAGTGATATGTGCTAAATAAATGTCCCTCGACCACCTGATGGCATCCAGCACCATACGTTGCCACATCAGCCAAGCTGTAGCACTGACCAATTCTGCATTCCCACAACACTCGCTCGTTACTGGGATCGCATGCTCCCAGGGCTTTGACGATCCCTGTGTGTGTTCGAACTTCATAATCCCTAGCTTTCATGGCATCAGCCAGAGGGTGTATTTCTCCCTCTTTCGGGCGGGGGTGTCATGGAAGACCAGGGGTCTTGTTCTCAAAATGACTCTCACTCAAACCTTCTGTTTATATGATTGTGGTGCCTGATGTTTCCCTCACAAGATTTGTCTTGACTAAGATAAAAGGTGGGTTTGGGGGCTTTTTAAACTTCAGCTAGCACTGTCCAAAAACCAGCTTTTCATCCTAGTCAAGGCAAACCCACAGTGAAGATCAGAAATCACTGCTGGTGAAGGTGGAAAAAGACCAGTGGAACTGTTCAGTCCATCCTCCCGGAAAGGGAGGATATACTCCCCTGAGAGAGGTCACATTGATGCTGGATATTAAAGTGATTTAAAATTTTATTAAAGTTAATGTTTAAAATTAAATATACACAAGTTAAGAGGGAAGGTACTGTACATCTGGGGTCAGGCTTGAGTTATGAGGGATTACAGGTATTGGTTACAAGATACATACATATCATATAACCAACATAGACCCAGATTTGGGTGCGGGAGTTTTTAAAGCATCAGTGGATAAGTGGGCTCGGGTATGCCACCCATGAAACGTATTAAGAGTCCAAGTCAGTATCAGTGTAGCAATACTGCACTTGAGCTTATCCAAAAGGCCAAGTAACTTATTTACAATGCATTGGCTTATAGTGACCTGATCCACAACACATACAGCTGCCTCTGGCATCAGCTGCAGTCCTTTGTACAGTTCAAGGACACAGTGTTGCCTTAAATAGGAGACGTACTGCGCACGTGTTGTTTTATTTCACAAATATTGCATGTGTCCTTCAATCAATTTTTTAAATTAATAATGTATTAAGTGGAGGTTAAAGAATTGTGTTTTTATTTTCATCCAAGCATTCTTATATAGCTAGTTCTCAAGGCACAGTGGGGAAGAAACATTAGCCAAAGGCACAACAGAGCTGTTTGAATACTGCTGTCTTTTATACCCAACAAGAAAATTTAAAGAGGGGCACGGAAACAAAGTGCAGGCCTGCTGAGTATTAACTTGAAAGTGGGAAATAAGCAAATAATTTTTAATCACCAAATATTAGAGGCCTAGATAGTTATCTGAGGTTCTTTCTGCATTGAATTTGGTTTTATTAATTCTCAGGGAAGCGACTAGTTTGGAATGTAAAGAAGAAAATTGATGTTCTCGATCTCCTTTCAAAAACATACCCTAGTTATTGGCTTTGCTGGTCTGCTGCATGAATCACAGTTGTGTGTCATCACATGCATTCAGCTGTGCTGTCATTGTGCAGGATGAAATCCAAATCCGGATGAAAAGGGAAACCCAAACAAATTCATCTACATTCCTCATGACTCACTCTGCTTCTTATCGCCAATCATCCCTCCTGTGCAGGAACAGAGAAAAAAAACACACACACCCCCACCCCCAGATTCTAAAAACTGAGACTATTTTACAAATCTGAAGCAATCAGAAGGTCTTTGACTCAGAAATGTATAATGCAATTGGTTAAATTTGAGTTCTTCTGCTTCCCCCAAATCAGTTTAGAATTCTAGAATTAAACAGCAAGTCTGTCCGGCTTACATAAAAGCTATTTTCTTGTTTTCCTTTTTATTTTTTTCCGTCAATCGACAGTAGTTGCCTCCGGTGCCTCAACAGTAGCTATGACTGTGTCTTAATGAAAAAAGATGTATAAAGTATTACCATAACCTCAGAGGCATGAGTGAAGCCCTTATTAGAATTCGGGACCTACAGCTGGAACTTTCAGCTTGGGGTGGGAGATAAAGTTAACTATTGTTAGCTCACAAGTGGCTCAGACTTCCTGGCAACTGAAGTGAATTACTCAGCCCTTTATGCAGGGCTTCAGAAACAGTCCACTGTTTCACAACAAAAAAGGCATTCAGGCAGGGAAAGATGGTCTCCCCAGGCTCTAGAAAGCTAGCTTTAAGACAGTGAATCAACACTAGGGCCTCACAAGTGAACGGCCACTGTGGGAAAGGGTGATGATGTCAGCCTGAATGCATTTCCAATGTTTTTGTCCCACTTTTCATTGCTTTTGCTCGCCCTCTCTCTCTTTCTCTGTCCCCTTCCTGTTCTTTTGAGGCCATTATTTTAAAAGTTTAGAACGCCCATCAACTCCAGTGGCCCACTGCGACACTGTTGCCATGGCAATGCTTTTCTACACTGTTCTTTGCATAAAATAAACCAGGGGGGAAAGCTAAAAAAAGAAGAGACAGTGAGTGTCCCAGAGAGAGGAATAAGAGAGCCAGCGCCAGTTGGGGGCAGCTTGGAGTTAGAGCTGAAAGTGGGGAGAGGAGTGCTGTCAGTGCGGATGGGGGAGTATAGGTGAGGGGGCTGGTGAACCCAGTAGGTATTTGGGGATCTTTTGAAAAACAAATTTGTAAACCTTCACACTCTACACTTTTGAAAGGATCCACACTTCTGAAGGCCTACAGAAGAATCAGAGTAATGTTCTTAGCTAAGCCTTCACAAAGAACACAGCCATGCTTTGGCAAATGTACCCAATTACATAGTTTATACAAAGTTTTCAAAGGCTTTTCTGTGCTTGCCCACCCCCCTTCTCCCCGCCAAAGAATGTGTGTAAGGGATGGGGGAGGCCCCTAAATGCTTTTGATCCTGATAGCAAGTGACCATTAAACAAGCTGACATACCTGACAGGATAGCCCACATTCTCAGGTTTACTGTGCTGTCAAAGTGCAGGCTTCAGTAGTAAGTGCTGAGAAGCATCCCTGTAAAACTGGCTGGACACTGTCAGTGACAAGGGGGAAGAGGCATTCATTGCTCATGTTGTTCCTCCTGTACATGATACAGTGCCGCCTGCATCCCAATCACCGGCTTGCCCTCCCTCCAAAAAGAAACGTCATGTTTTCTTCCTGCATTCTGAGAAATAGTGGATATTCCTATGGCCAGTGCAGGAAGCCTTTGCTAAGCCTGTCCCGAGGCAAAATTATAGTATGGCAGAATTGTATGCACATTGAGCACTGAGATAGTAGAGTAATTTAGTACACATTACATCCATGCTGTACTGGGGTTTTGGATATCAGCATTTTAAAGACTACAAATGTACATGCTGCTTACACAACATTCAATATTCATCCTTTCTGTCCTCTGCCCAAATTGTGACACCCTTTCTCTGACTGAGGCTATGTCTTCACTAAGAAAAAAAAAGTGCAAATTTTCATAGACTCGTAGAAATGTAGGGTTGGAAGTGACCTTGAGAAGCCATGAAGTATGCCCCCCCCCCCTTCACTGTGGCAGGAACATATGAACCTAGCCTATCCCTGACAGGTGTTTGTCTAACCTGTTTTTAAAAGCCTCCAATGATGGGGAGAAGCTGGATATGAGTCAACAGTGTGCCCTTGTTACCAAGACGACTAACGGCATATTGGGCTGCATTAGTAGGAGCATTGCAAGTAGATGGAGGGAAGTGATTATTCCCCTCTATTCAGCACTGGTGAGGCCACATCTGGAGTATTGTGTCCAGTTTTGGGGGGCCCCCCCCACTACAGAAATGCTGTGGACAAATTGGGGAGAGTCCAGCGGAGGGCAACGAAAATGATTAGGGGGCTGGGGCACATGGCTTACGAGGAGAGGCTGAGGGGACTGGGGTTATTTAGTTTAGAAGAGAAGAGTGAGGGCGATTTGATAGCTGCCTTCAACCACCTGAAGTGGGGGAGGGGGTTTCCAAAGAGGATGGAGCTCGGCTGTTCTCAGTGGTGGCAGATAACAGAACAAGGAGCAATGGTCCCAAGCTGCAGTGGTGGATGTCTAGGTTGGATATTAAGAAACACTATTTCACTAGGAGGGTGGTGAAGCACTGGAATGGGTTACCTAGGGAGATGGTGGAATCTCCATCCTTAGAGGTTTTTAAGGCCCAGCTTGACAAAGTCCTGGCTGGGATGATTTAGTTAGTGCTTTGAGCAGGGGGTTGGACTAGCTGACCTCCTGAGGTCTCTTCCAACCCTAATCTTCTATGATTCTATGATTCCACAACCTCTTTTGGAGGCTTATTCCAGAGACTATCCTTATAGTTAGAAAGTTTTTTCTAATATCTAACCTATATATTCCTTGCTGCAGATTGAACCTATTAGTTTACCATGTGCATTAGCTATCCTTCTGTAAGTACACAGAGGAGACAAGGCACTGTAGTTTCACTATGAGGTACACTAAGCAAGGTCAACTGCGGGCAGGGAATATAGTGCTGACCTTACCTCGATACCTCATGGTAGACACTACAAGTGCCTTGTCACCACTTAGGCTTTTACAGCGAGAGAGCTATCCCCCGTTAGTTACCTTGGGGTAAAGAAAAAAAAGAGACCCAAACAACTTTGTGTCAGTGATGACAAAACCTGAGAGGCTGCCTCCTCCAGTATCATTGCCACTCACTGGACCAGCTGACAGGCAAAATTCACCCCTGAACAAACTGTACACTCAAGGCCCTTTGACCACACAGTGACAGACTAACAATATCCTTTAATACCCTGGACACACTGTATAGAATTATCATAGTCTTTATTGAATTAAGCTAAACCTTATTGAATTAGGGTTAATACCGTTGGGGTACATTGTATTAAAAATGCAATTGTGTCAGTGTTATTGTGGCTTTGTACATACCTTCTCTAGTAGGGAGCGGGGGAATGCTAATGAACTTCGTCTGTTATCAACCTTTCAAAGTCATACCCTGGAGGGATACGCATATACTAGTTCGAACTGGATTCTCCACAGACCAACAAAAGGACTTTTGGATAAACAGCTTGAGTTACTTTAAACTGACTAGGCCCTCTTCTTGATCCATGGAGGGTCCCAATCCTTTGGGTAGGGTTGGAAAGCCTTGGCCTGCCAGAGTCCATGTTACAACGAACTCTGGTAAGCATATTAGCATGCGTGTAGGGTCTTTTAATATGTTTTCACCATATTTTTTTTTAACTTTGGAATAAAGGAGGCTTGCATAGAAAGAGCTGGGAGGTAACTGCAGCAATCCCTCTGTTATTGGTCTCTGACGAGAAAACAAGCAGGTCTGTTCAGGCAGGCTGTCTTTGCTTGGAAATACATAGTGAAGGCAGGGAACTGTAGAGCCTGGAAATATCCCGATCAAAGGGGAGTGAGATGCAGGTCTTCACCCAAAAGAGGAAACAACAAGGGAGCCAGAAGCCATGGCCAATGGGAGCTGCGGGGCCATTGCCTGCGGGTGCGGCAGCGCACAGAGCCACCTGGCCGCGCCTCCACCTAGGGGGCTGCAGGGACATGTTGGCCACTTCCAGGAGCAGCGCAGAGCCAGGGCAGGCAGGGAACCTGCCTTAGCCCCACTACACCGCCGCCCAGGAGCCACATGAGGTAAGCGCCACCCGGCCGGATCCCACAACCCGAAACCTCTGCCCCAGGTCAGAACCCTCTCCTGCACCCTATCTCCCTCCCAGACCCAGTACCCCACATGCCCACTCACACCCCAACACCCTGCTCCAACACCCTGCCCAACACTCCTTCCTGCATCCAAACTCCTTCCCAGAGCCTGCACCCCACACCCCCTCCCGCACCCCACTGCCCTGCTCCAGCCCTGAGCTCCCTCCCTCATTGCAAACCCCTCGGCCCCAGCCCAGAGCCCCCTCCTGAACCCCCAAATCCCTCCTCCCCACCCCCACCCCAGAGCCCGCACCCCCAGCTGGAGCCCTCACCCCCTGCTACACCCCAGCCCCCTGCCCCAGCCCAGTGAAAGTGAGTGAGGGTGGGGGAGAGTGAGTGACAGAGAAAGGGAGGCTGGAGTGCGTGGGGGTGTGGTCTCAGATAAGGGGCTGGGCAGGGGCGGGGTCTCAGGGCAGGGGCGGGGAAAGGGTGTTCGGTTTTGTGCAATTAGAAAGTTGGCAACCCTAATTAGGCCTCTGAACTGCAAGCCTCATGAGACACCCATGGCAGCTCAAGCAGATCCAGAGACTAATGCTAAAGCTGAAACCAAACATTTTAACATTTGTGAATTAAATTGTTTCTGAAGTTTCCATATTTTGACTTTTTGTCCCTGTCCAGGACAAAGCTAAATGCTGGAACATCGGACTTTCCTGCAGAATGGTAATTCTGATTTTTGGTCAACTCTACTTAAAGGTTGAATCTGAACATCAGTCTTCCTCATGGTGACACATGTTTGCAACCGGCTTGTTCTGCTTCTTCTAGCACTGCACTGTTCTCTTCCCAGTAAGTGTTCACCATAACCATTTTTCCCCTCAGCCATGAACTGCTTTATCATATAAGGGCTCGTATCACTCAGAAGTTCCAATCACTTTAGCTATTGTGTTTGGGAAGAAGGGATGCATCAGCTAAATTTGAACCAAATCAATGACCTAACTCAAAATGTTTCAATTGGATAAAAACCTTAGGAAATAAGCAGTTATGAAGGCAGAATGCCAAAACTAGATTTGAAAGGCTGCTGAACTGTGTCCAGAAAAGATCAGAGGAAATGAAAATGACCCTCTGAGGCCTTGCCTACACTGACAAGTTTCTGCGCAGTAAAGCTTCTTTCTGCGTTGTAACTCCCGAGATGTACACTCTGCCAAGCCGCTTAGAAACTGCGCAGTTGCAGCACTGTAAAAAACCACCCCGACGAGAAGCGTACAGCTTTCTGTGCCAGGAGTACAGCGCCACGGTGCCAGTGTAGACACCCTGGTCGATTACAGTGCTGTGACTGGCCTCCAGGAGGTGTCCCACAATGCCTGTTCTTGCCCCTCTGGTCATCGGTTTGGACTCTACTGCCCTGCCCTCAGGTGACCAACCATCATCCCCACCCCTTAAATTCCTTGGGAATTTTGAAAGTCTCCTTCCTGTTTGCTCGATGATGCATGCAGTGATCTCAGCACATCTTTACAGGTGACCATGCCTGCTCCATCCACCAGGCGATCTCCCGCTTGGAGCAATGCCGAGCTGCTGGACCTCATCAGCATTTGGGGAGAGGAGGCTGTCCAGGCCCAGCTGTGCTCCAACCATAGGAATTATACCTACAGACAGATTTCACGATGCATGACAGAAAGGGACCACGACTGCGACACACTGCAATGCAGGGTCAAAGTGAAGGAGCAGCAGAACGCCTACCACAAGGTGCGGGAAGCAAACTGCCACTCCGGTCTATGCCCATGAGCTGCCAGTTCTACAAAGAGCTGGATGCAATACTTGGTGGCGACTCTACCTTCACTGTGAAGGCCACTATGGATACTTTAGTGACTCACGTGCCAGTCGAGAGTGGACCAAGCCAGGAGGAGGAAATCTTGGGACGAGGATGTGGATGTGGAGGGAGATCCAGAGGCAGAGGATGACTTGGAGGTCAGAGATGCATGCAGCCAGGAGCTCTTCTCTACCCCGGAGGAGGCTAGCCAGTCACAGCTGTCGGATCTTGGCGAAGCGCAAACAGGAGAGGAGGCCCCTGGTAAGTGGCTTTGATTTTGGGAATCACTGAAGCGAGTTGTTGGGGGGTAGGAGGATTGCCGAAAGCAGGCTTGTGTCTGTATGATGCGCGTACCATCACATGCCTGGTCTGAGCGGTAGAACAGGGTGTTGATTGACTCATTCACTTCATGGGAATCTGCCTAAGAGATCTCCAGGAACCTCTCATGGAGATACTGGGCAATACACTGCCACAGATTCTTTGGCAGAACTGCTTTGTTTCTTGCCTCATTAAGGGTAACTTTTCCACACCACTCTGCTATCACTGGTTTGTGGGGGGGGACCATTGCTGCACACAGGCGAGCCACATAAGGACCAGAGCGGAAGCCGCAGTCTTGGAGAAGACCCTCCCTTGATCCCCTGCTCACCCTCAATCTTCCATTATGAACATAGCCTGTGGAAAATGTGGGGACAGGAATGATTATAAGGCCTCCCCCTACAGTGATGGCTCTCCCCAAGAGCCACATGCCCAGTGTACAGTATGGTCCTTGAACACTGATTTCCCCCACACCTGCAGTTACTCACCATTTTGGGGGTCTTGTGACTCGTGTGTGCTTGCCTGGGGTCAGCCAGTTAGTGACAGGTATGTGAATAGTGGCTGTGTTTTAAATCACTGTTCTGTGTGTTGCAAACAATACTGCTTCTGTAAAATGTTGCATT